AATGGAAATGTATAATTCTCATATAAAACATATGTTCTTTCAAAATATTCCATGAAGAAACAATTGCTCCTTCTATTGATCGAGTAGACTTTATGCATTTTTTAAAAGAAAATAATCATTTGATTTTTAATCGAAAATTATTTTTACTTTTAGCAGAAGTATAATCATCAATAATAATTTCATTATTAAATTATTTGTTATATCAAAGCTAAAAATTTTTCGAAAATATGTTAACGATCATATAATAATTATTATCATTACTATAATTATAATGATTAATAGACAATTTATGTTAATCATATTAACCATTGACATAAACAATTCATATAAGTTATAATTTATTTAATATTATGTACTTAGCTTATTTACAATAATTATACATTTTACATATAACAATATATAATTATTTATTTATATTAATAATTTTTGAATAAATAATAAAAGATTGAAAATAATAAATAATAAAGAAAAATCGTAAGTAATAAAAGACTAATCTTAAATTAATTTTTTTCAAATAAAGCTTCAATGATTTTGAGAGAATGATTACTTTTGTTGTAATTACTTTTTTCATGGATAAATATTTCATAGAGATCACATGAAGATCAATTTTATTTTTTTCTTAAAGAAAATTGTACTCTTTTCATAATTTTATTATTTAATAATAATAGAAATTTAATTTCGTTTTTTGAAATAATGATTAAACAATCCATAAGACAAAAAACGATGAATCAATCATCAAAACTGTATTGCCCCATTGATTGTAAATAAAAACGAAATAAATAATTTGATTCGTTTCAATACGTCAAGTTTATCAGAAATCTATGAAATGTAGCAAGAATATTTATAATCCGTACAATCATTTTCAGTAATCCTAATTTATTTCACGACTACGTGAAAATATTGCAACGAGTACGATAATTGAACGATTCGTTTCAGAAGCATTCGTTTTTATCGGAGTGTATTCGAACGTAAAGAGAATGGCATTTGAAAAGCAAGCAGAAGAGCAAACATCGATTAAGAAAATAGAAAAAGGATGAAAAGAAAAGTAATAGTAGAAATAATCGAAAAACTCGAATTGGTAGCTGTAACATTTGTATTTAATTTCTTTTATGTGCGTATTTGAAAATAATAATTATTCTATAAAAATAAGGATATTTATATATTTTTTGTTGGCAAAAAAGAATAACGATAAACATGAGGAATTATACGATCAGCACTTCTCTTTAAAAATGCGTATTATTGAAATCAAAATTTCAAAGTTCCAATAATCGTATTAAATTTAAGATTTTAGAAATTTAAAAACTAATGAATCTATTATTTTCTTCTCTTTAATTACTTATTCTAAAATGTTTGTTGCACATTTAAAATATCTTCATTAATTATCTTCATTATTGAGAAAATAACTTGTGACAGTTTATTGTTAATAATAGAAACAAATTTGTATATAATATATTGCGAAAATTATTAACATAGGTAATTAGTATCTAGTTAATTCTCGTAATTAGTTGAGAATTACTATGATAAATTTTTTTTATTTTTGCTTAATTTTAATATATTTCACGATTATTTCGTCATATATGCTTATGTGAAAAACAAATGATGCAAAAAATAGAAGAAAGAATAATAAAAGAATATATAAAATATCCTATCTATTAAAAATAATATGCAGAAAATGTAAAAAGAAACAAAGATAAAAAATATGAAAAAGAATTTTAAAATAGAAAATATTACAGTAACATAGAAAATCTAGTTAAAAAAAGAATAAAAGAAAATGTATAGAAAAAGCAGGGATTGTAAATTCGGATTTATCTAATGCATAAACATTTGTTATATAAAAATGAAATGATCGAAAATCCTATAAAAATACGAGATGAATAATCCAGTCCAAAATGAAAAGCCTATTACTTTGAAAGTGATCTCTGATTTTGATAGAACTATTGAAATTATTATTTCAATTATTATTTCAATGGTATTATTGAAATTATACCGAAAATGAAATTTATTTAATGTTATATAATTTCTCATCGTGAAAAAAATAATTTCTAATTTTTAAAATTCATATGAGAAACAAAAATGAATTAATCGCAATACATTATAGTAAGAGAAAGTCGTTTATATCACATATATAACATCACAGTGAAATAAACAGACAACTCTAAGATATTAGCTAACATGTTTTTCTTATAATCTGAACCTTGAATTTTAGAATTTCAAAACATACCATAAAATTCTGAAGAAAATTATCAGGAATAATAAAAAAACTATTAATTTTTTTTTTTAACGATTCTAAATTGTTTTGATTTCATCTAATTAAAATTTTAAATTATAAATATAAGCATAAATTTATGGTATAAATGTGTTATTTATATAAAATCATTATATAAATGTATCATAAAAAATATCAATTGTACATTTATTTCAGATGGTGAAAATGATGGTGACAGTTGTAATAGTATTCACTGTTTGTTGGCTTCCATTCAATATATTGAACGTAAGTAACAATAATTCTTATTTTTCCACTCTAACAAAATATTACAAAAAGAAGCAGTTACAATAATATATATTTCATTTTACAAAGAGATTATAAAAAAATTCTTTAATTTTTAATCACATTAATTTTTCAGAAAATCAAAGTAACATAACATTACGTTGTTATGTTACATATTGAATAATTATATTTTAAAAAATAATTATACTTTCAAAATATATTTTTAAAAATGTTATAAAACATTTTAGCTAATAATGGATAATAACGAAACTCTTGGAAGTTGGACCTGGTTCCTTTTGTATGGATGATTCTCCATTGGTTGGCTATGTCTCATTCCTGTTACAATCCGATAATTTATTGCTGGATGAACGCGAGGTTTCGAACTGGTTTCATAACAGCAATTGGCCATTTACCTGGCACAAATCGAATTCTTCGCAGAGAGAGACGTGATAATTATAATGCTAGTTTGGATATTCCCTTAACAGGTTCTAATATTTAATATTACAAAACATTGAATATAATTTAACGAAATGAATTAGAAATATAATTTTCAAAAAAATATACTTAATTAGATTTCTAAAAGTTTGAATGAATTAAATTTAAATTTAAATTTAATTCACATGATAATATGATTCTGATATCCATTGATTTGAGATAATAAAAATCGAAAAATTCTAACATTTTTTTAAATATTAAGAAAATAAAATGAAGTTTTTAACTATGATATTTTATAAGTTTTTAACAGTATATTAGTTCATTAAAATTATTTACAAATTTTCTTCTATATCTTAAATTTTAACCAGTCTTCTTTTAACAAAATATATCGATATACAAAGAGAAATAACAAGCTGTATTGAAAATTATATAATCCTATTTAAAATAGATACGATTATTTACATAAAATCTAATGATATCAAAATAAAATTACAACTTTTATCTGAAACATTTTTTAATAATCAAGTTATTTAATTTATCCTATGTATTTTTTATTTTAACACAATACTTGTAATTTGTTCAATTACAGGTTTCAATGATTCTAATCATTCTGTCCTTCGACGTATGAACACATGCACAACATATATCAGTGTTCGTCGCAAAGCAAATGGGAATCACACTGCACCTGCAAGAAGTGCAAGCTTCCGGAATGATTCTTTCCGGCCAATGGCACAACAATTACAACGACAATTCACTTATCTCGAATCTCATTCAGAGGAGCAATTGTAAAGAATTTTTGTAATTAAATTAACGATTAAGTGTTAAATGAAGGTAAATATGAGATTAATGAATATATAGAAAATTTGAGTGGTGTAAAAATTTGCAAAAAAAGATAGCGTATGGAGATCGTGAAAAAACAATGAATTAAAAAAGATTTACAAATATTACAACGATATTGTGTGAAAATTAACGTTGATTTTAAAAATACAAGTACATATAACCTGAAAAGGAAAGAAGAAAATTTTTTAATCAATGTAATAATAAATTTTGTCGTTTTTTGTAATTAAACATACCAAACATTTTGTACAAAATATTTGTGTAACAATGAACAATGTGATTAGACAAGTGATCTATGTAGATATATTTTTATGTTTTATTGAATATCTATTTTTTTTATTATATTTATTTCAATTTATTTATATTACATTAAGAAGGAAGAATATAAAAATAAGTTTTCTTACATTTTCTTATATTTAAATTTTAGCTAAAATTAAAATATAAAAAGACATGATTCTATAAATAATGGCAAAAAGTAAATATATATATTTTCATTAAAATTATTCATGATGTTATTTATAACAATAATCATAATCGAAATAAAATTCTTAATATTTTTTTAATATTCATTTTTTTAATACAAGAGATAAATCATATCTAATTTTGTTAAAATTCTAATGAAATATTAAATTGCTATATTTTTATCTATTCTTTTATACAAATAGTATTATAGCAAGATTAACAAGGATTTAATAATTGAAATTCAGAAATGTATCATATTGTAAACAAAACTGTTAAACGATAAGAGATTTATAATATATATCTTACAAATATCAATCACCATCTTTATCTTTCCTTTTCCTAAATCATAGATATGATACAAACTATCTTATATGGAATGCTATATTTATATATTTATTTGAATAAAAATAAAAATTTATACAGATCAATTAATATTGATTATTATGATTGATCAAGAAAATCAGATCAGATTTTTCAATTTGTTCACAAAAATAATATATTTTTAATCATTTTTTCGTTTATATATGATTTGATGTTATCTCAGATATACACATAAATTTTATCGAGATTATTAATACAAGATTAATACAAAATTGATAATAAAAACAAAATATGTGTATTTAATTTGTGATTATTTATTTATGATATGGTGTTGAACATATAATAATTATTATATTAAACTGCAGATATTTATGCAAATTTTTTTAAAAACATGATTTAAAGAATGGAATTCGAAAATTTCATTTCCAATATAAAATAATATTATAATATAAATATAATCAGTTTAAATAGAGATAGATATTTTAAAAAGCATTGATAGCTCCATCCACACCTCGACCATAGGGAGTATTTTCATTTGTTAAAAGATTATAGCTACCCGTCCTAGAATCATTAAAATAATCTATTATAGATAAAAAAAAAATGTTAATACAAATACAATAAGAAGAATTTTAAAAAATTCCTTTTCTTTTTTATGAAGAGAAATTATATAAGAATTAATTAGTGAAAATAAAATACTAACGCATTGCTCGGTGTAGTGTATCCCATTGGAACAAATGGAACACCATCACAACCCCAAACTTGGAAATTTGTACACTTGCCAATAAAGGCGGTATTGTTTCTAACTGATTCCGCATAGAGTTCGAAAGATCTTCGATGACTACAAAGATCTGTAACACGTGTAAACGAAAAACATTGAGAAAGTTTTTAGACTCGATTTCTATTTTATTCAATTTTTTTCTATTAAATGATAAAAAATATTTTATAATAATAGAAGTTTGATAATAAAGTAAATTTCATCATAATAATTCATTGAAATGAGCCATAAGAAAAGAAATATCTTTTCTCGTTATCTTATCATTATATCAAAAAATTTCTTAGAAAAAATTTGTAATACTTATTAATATTATATCGCATATAAATACAAAAACAAAAACTTTTAAGATCAATTTTTTGATATTTTTTTAAAAGCAGCACTATGTGCTTAATATTCGAAATGAATTGATCATCCGATTATACTATGATCTTAAAATTGAACTGAGAAAATGTTTATCGAAAATTTCAAGAAACGAGTTAAAAAATAAAAAAAGAAAAATTAAAAATTGTGCAAATCTTGTATACAAAACCTTTTGGCGACAGTAGTAAACCGAATGACGGACAACCTGGTTGCGGTCTGTGGCCATAATTAGGATAAAAGTCCACATGACCAATTTTCAGAGCCGTTCCATAGCCACCTTTATCAGTATGTATAACATCTACGAAGACAGCATCAGAGGTACTCAATCGATCATTAAGAAGGTAGAAAAGAGGACCAGCAGGATCTAAACCTGTAAAAGAAATGTTAAATGTATTCAAACATCTTAAAGTCTGGTAATTAAATAGAATCTAAGATACAGGAAAGTTTCAGTCATCGAATAAAAAATTGTACAACACAGAGAAAATTATTTTTTGTATCATTAAGTAATCATTAAACCATTTGATTGAATATTTTTTTTAAATTCTTTAAGATATTACGTTGCGATAAGTTTTTGATTCTCTATCTAATGAAGAAATAAAATGTTCATCACCTGTTATCCTAGAAATTCTGAAGATCGTCTGACGACCGATTCTCCCTGCAATTTGTGCACCAAGTGAATATCCAATTACATGTATCTTTTCTGGATCCACACCGCCCTTCACTAAGCTGTTCAGAGCATCGGCCACAAGTGTGCTGAGTTTTTTCATTGTTATCACGGAAATTGGATAAAGTTGAGCAGCAATATCCCGGTAATCGAGTGCCAAAATATTATCCTCTGTATTCTTTAAATATGCTGCAATAATTCAGGAAAAAATTAATTATTCTTCGAATGACATTGCAATGCAATAGAATATATTGTAAAATGAAAATGAAAAGTGAATATTTCATAATTCGATAGTTCTTTTTTTATTTCATTTATGAGGTATAAGATATTTTTGAAATATTTTAACTTTATTTTAAATTTAGATTTTAAAAGTCATAACAATAATAAAAATATGAATTGACGTTTATCTTGATGAAACGATAAAGAGAATTTCATTTCTGAATATATTAATATTTTCATAATACTTCATTTCTGAATATATTAATATTTCATTTATGAATATATTAGCATTTGGTACATGTATATTATCTTGCTTATTATATCTATTATAGTACTATAGTTATATAAACATTGCAATTTTTATAAATTACAATATTTTATAAAGCTGTAATAACAATATAATGTAATAACAATAAACCATCATTTAATGTAGCATAAAATAATCAAAAGATTATGTCATCATTACCATTATATTTTTTATATAAGATGTATTCGAAAGATTGAAAATCATTTAAGATACATTTTAACCCTGATTTATTTTTCCAATAATTAAAAATTTTTATAATTTTTTTTATATATTTTATAGACGAATGATCATTTATCGTCAAAGGAATTATTAATATATTTTGTAAATTGGCAAAATGATAATTAATTACTAATAATTCTATAATATTCAATAATTCAATGATCATAATAAAAAGATATGAAAATCAAGTTAATGTTAACTTGATGTGCGAACAGCTGCATTATTGCTGACTTAAAGTGAAGATAACCTTGTGGGAATAACCCTGTTTGATTAAATAAGTGCAAGAAAAATCGCATCAGCTGAATGTAAGTATATTTAGTTTAACTTTTATTACATACACAAGTGAAAACGAGAAATGTAGAAAAAATGTAAAAATATTATTAAATTGTTGATGGAATTTCCATGCATAACTTACCATTCGTTATCATTTTTACATTGTCAGAATTGATGTCATGTCTGTAGCCAGTTATATAGAATGCTAAACTATTATTCTTTTGTATGTGAGATAATAATTGATCAGCATTCCTTACATTTTTATCAATATGAGAACCATCTCTAAAAGAGATAATTATTTCATGATGAATTTTAAGTAAGTAAATTATCGTAGAATTAATTTTTTTTATAGAATTCGTAAAATTTATGTTGCTTGTAAATAATTACCTTTTATACAAACGTAGGAAAACATTTTTAGTTATGTCTAAATTTTTATTAGTTACATTCGTAGCATCTGTGAACAAAATTGTTAATAATAATTTGTATTACGTTATATTTAAATTTTACCTTAAAATTAAAAAGCTAAAAAAAAAAAGAAAATTTTAAAGTAAAAAATCATGTTTATATAATTCTAATAAATAAATTAAATTAAAATAAATTAAAACGATTCTCTTAAACTGATATTCTTGGATTAATGGACAATAAGATAATTAATAAAAATTCATTAATATGTAATTCCTTAAAATAAAATAATTATATTCTATATGATCATTATTTGTATGAATATGATTTGTATGATTTATCTCAGAATATTTTTTCATCTGAAAATCTATTTTTGACTGAATTTTGAAATATTTTGTGATAAAACTTTTTTTATACGAAATATATTCGTATTTCAGAATTTCAATTTATTGTGAATTTTCCAAATTTAGGACTTTCTTATGATTTGCTAAATTTATTAATAATAATTAAAATAATAATTTCTTCACTTTTTAGTTATTAATTTGTACTTAAATATATAAAAATAAAATTTATTAAGAACTTACCAGTCAATATTAAAGTAAGAAACGCTAAAAAAAAACAGAAATGTATGTTGCCCATGTTCACAGGCGAGTTCAAGACTTTTGATTACTCATGCAAACTATAAAATTAATTTATTTGAATCCTGAAAATTACGTTTAGTTTATTTTTTAATTTTATTCTTCTAAAATTTCGCGTAAGTATATTATTTCAAAAATATTATTATTATTTAAATGATTCCTGATACTTTCATGAAACAAATTAATCTAATTCTTTCATGAAACAGATTAATCTAACATAGTACTTACGTATTTTTAAAATCAATTATATATTAATTTTTTTTAATTAATCATTAAAAATATAAATAATTAAACAAAAATGGTTGAAATTATTGTTTTCAATCAATTGCTTGTTTACCAGAAACTGATCGATTTTCTTTTTTTCGAGACTTAAATATCATATTCTTAATCATTTTCCTGTTATATAATTCATTCTTATCTGAGATCTTATTAATTTTATCTTAATTATCAGTACGAACTTCTTTCGATATTTAAAAATGTATTCCATCAATATTGCACTTAATTATATTATTTTTCATAAATTATAGTTCGGAATTGAAGTAATAGTTGATGATTCATTCATTCGAATCGTTTGGATATTATGATTTTTCAATACAAAATTTGCAAAAAATATTTAATTTAACAATATCTTGATGGATTTGCAGCATTAAAAAAATAGATGCACTTATTTTCTATTTTCATAAGGAAAACAAAAATTATTAAAAAATTCTTAAGAATTTTTATTTTACACCAATAATAATTATTTATTTTACACCAATAGATAAAGCATACCAATAATATGATGTCTATTTCAAAATTTTATATTTACATATTTTAAAAAGGAAACATTTTCAAGAAAAATATTAAATTCAAAAGTTTGAAAAGAGAATAATATTTATCCTATTATTTTTTATTCATTTTCAAAGTTTGTTCGAATAATGATTTATTTAAAGATCAAGTCCCATTTCTTAATACTACAAATATTTATCTTATGAAAAAAGAAAAGAATGAAAAATAATTCTTGTATTTAGCATTTTTTCTGAAAATTTCTTCTTATAATATTTAAATGTAAATTTTTCCAATGAATATCTCGTGAATAATGAAAGATATGATAAATGATAGTATTGATGAATCAAATTCGTTTGATCTTTCGAAAGTTGAAGAGAGTGATTAAAATTATCGGTGATTCACGAAAATGTGGATATACAATTCCAAACTGTTATCAAAAAGGGAAAAAATAATAACGATATCGATACAAGTGAGAAATATATTTTTATGATAAAGTATAAATATGAATTCTGAGTATTTACGTGAAGATTTTGAATGGATTATACGTGTAAAGTGATTAAAAAAGAGAGAATAATAATTTAAAAGAAAAAAAAAAATAGAAACATTATACATTTATATTATATTATAAATAATAAAGACAAATTTACAAAATTAATCAATTTATTTTATCTAAATCTAAATATTTAACACATACACGTAATAACATTTATGCAAATCATGTAATAAATATAATCACTTTTGACAATAAAATATCCTATTCATCATCGATTCTCCACTCCACTGTAGCCTCGACCATAGGGACTATGTGCATTTGTTACGAGATCATAATTACCTTTTCTAAAAGTATGATAATCAAATCAGAAGATAATACAATTAAAAAAGAGGAAAATATGTAAATTTTCCTCGTCTTTCGTATAATTCCTTTTTAAGATATATAAGAATCTTCGTAGTATCAAAGAATCGTAAAACGTATAAAGAACAACGTGGATCATTAAACACAATTAAAAATTAATGAAGAAATTATACTAACGCGTTTTTAGGTGTAGCGTATCCCATTGGAATAAACGAATCGTCACAATCACTTCTGCACTTGCCAATGAAAGCGTTATTATCTGTAACCGATTCCGCATAAAACTCGATAGCTCTACTGTGGCTACAAGTATCTGTAACATGTGTAAATAATGAACGTTTGACGCTCAAATAAGAAAGAAAAAAAAAAGCACGTTTATTCAATTTTGTGAAATTATGTGAAAATGTTTCGTTAATAACTAATAAAAAAAAATTTCATACTAATTCACATATATTTATATACATATATATTTGTATATAATATTATGGCTACATAATAATCGGTTCTGTTTCTTTCTACATCTCGAACATCTCGATCCATTTGTCTGATAACAGGCAACTTATTCAATTTGTCCATGACTCTCGTTCTATTTGTCTGACCACTCTAATCCATGATCAATTTATTCCATTTGTCATGACAAATGTCTTGTTTGTATAAAGTATGCGCAAGATATTTGAATATCTTTTCTTACCATTGTAAAAAAAAACTATTTTTCCTATTTTTCATTTTCTCTTTGTAAATAACATTATTGTACATTTTATTACACAAAAACTTATGTCAAAATGAATTTAACCAATTTATGCTACGATCTCGAAATTATATGGTTTATAGAAAATTCAAAGTATTTGCTCGAAAAATAAGAAGATTAAATATTTTCTACATACTGAAAAATAACGTAGAGATAAGCGGACAGCCCGGTTGCGGTCTACGGCCATTATTTGGATAGAAATCCACATGACCAAGTTGTTTAGGCAATCCAAGGATATACGAATCAGTGTGTATAACATCTACGAAATTAGCATCGAAAGAGTTCAACCGAGAGCTGAAAGCGTAGAATAAAGGACCAGCAGGATCTAAAGCTGTAAAAGAAACTTCGTTCGCATTTAAAAGAACCGCATAGAAAAGAAAAATTTTCAAAAAAAAAATACAGGACAGGAAAGGTTATAGTAATTATGCACTATAAAGTAAATAGCATCGATCACCTTGATCTTCGTGTTATCTGTCTAAGTAACTTTTATTGCTTAATTGTCGAGCTCTTATCGAGAAATTTGCAAAAAAAAAAAAAAAAAATATTGCAGGCGTGTATATATACGTATAGATAGATGCATACATACGATAGCGTGTATGTGTTCCTGTTATCTGTTGCTTTCATAAACACACTGCAATTGACCGGTGTTCAAAATGTATTACGAAGGATTAAAAAATTATTTTCCCTTATGAATTTTAAATTTCTTCGAATGCGAAAATAAATTATAAAATAATCTTTGGACGATCAAAATTATAATAAACGAAATTTTAATCAAATTAGCGATAAGCATTATAGATACTAACATAAGTGTGATGACATAAATTTATACATATCGTTTTAAGCATAACTCTTAAATTATCACAATAGCATGTTAATGTACACATTATCACTCACATATAAGCGAAGTTCTATATATACAAACGTAGCAATCTTCCTAGCAAATATTCTCGAAAATTATAAGAATTCGATGAGATTAGATTCTAAGTTACTTGTCAAGATCAACGTGGCCTATAATGAATAATTGAATCGTTAATTATTAAATTAAAAATTATTTTTCATTAAATAGCTTTTCAAAGGATGTCGAGTCAATGAACAGCCTCTTATTCTGCATTTGTTTATAATAATTTGAAGAAGTAAAATGTTAAATAAGTAATAACCTGTTATTCTTGGAATTTTGAATTTCGTTCTACGACCAATTTTCCCTGCAAGATGCGCACCTAGCGAATGTCCAATTAGATGTATCTTTTTTTCGTTCACATCACCGTCTATCAACGTGTTCAAGGCATTGGCAACAATCGTGCCGAGTTCATTGATTGCCAGCACGGAAATTGGATAAAGATGTTGTGTAATATCCCGATAATCGAGTGCTAAAATATTATCTTGCGTGTTATTTAAATACGCTGCAAAAATTAAAAAAGGAAAAACTAAATATTTTCAAATAACATTGCATAATAATAACAATATAATCGTTTGAATAAACATCGTATAAACATTAAAAACATCGTATCGATTAATCGATTAATTATTTAGATAATAATGAAAAGGAGAAAAATGTGAGATGGAAATATTATTAAACTATCGATCGAATTTCCATTCATAACTTTACCATTAATTATCAGTTTCACGTTGCCAGAATCGATGTTACTCGTGTAACCAGTTATATAGATTACTAAATTATTATCCTTTTGTATGTAAGGTAACAATTCATCGGTATTCTTTACATTTTTATCAATATGAGATCCATCCCTGAAGAGAACAATCACTTAAAGGTGAATTTTAAACGTGCATGTAAATCGATTTTTTTGTTTCGTTCAATTCATTAATTTCACGTTGCTTGTAAATAATTACCTGTTATACAAACGCAAGAAAACATTTTTAGTTGTGAATGTACCATCTGTGAACAAAGTTAATCCCAATATTATTTAAAACTTATATTATTGTTATCTTAATACTGCTAAAAAAAAGAAAAGAAAAGAAAAGAAAAGAAACTCTTAAAATTAAAAATCGTGAAAAATAAAACCTATCAAAAACTTACTTATCGATAGAAAGGTGGGAAACAGTAGAAAAAGAGAGAAATGAATGTTGCCCATGTTCAAGGTGAATCAAATCTTATTATGCTTATGCGATACGTAGATTAATTTATTTAATTACGTAGATTAATTTTTAAAGTTGCATTCACTATATTTTTTTTAACTTCAATTATTACATCGTTTTAAATTTTTTTGCACCATTAAATATGTAAATATTAACGTTAAAAATATGAATAATTTGCAATTATGTACGATTAAACTATTTCCGCTTGCTTCTTATAAAATGATCAATTTCCCTGTTTACTGAGACTTAAATATCATATTCTTCATCATTCTCTCATTATATAATTCAATCTTACTTCTGACCTTGTTAAATTTATCTCAATTATTGTTTTTTCTTTTTTATTTGAAAACGTATGCATATGTATATGATATTTATTGTATTTTGTGTTTCATTGTAGCATGTTTATATCGATTATAATGCATCGTTCGAAATAAAAATAATAGTTGGTAATATATTTTTCGGAATATATGTGTATATGCACACGTTATTTAATTATTAAAATTACGTTAGAATTCTCGTAATGGAACGAGGAAAATACGAGATTCAAAAAAAATATAATTGAAAAATTTTAATTCAGCAAGATCGAATAAGTTTTGCAATTGGAATATTGATTTATCATTACAATAATAATCATTGGCAAAGAAGCGTTAAAAATATCGATCATTAAAATATTTTCTTAAACTCAGCCAATTAAATCTCTTGAATTGAAAAATATTTTCATCATCTTATTAATTAAATGAGAAGTTGCGTATATACGGAAGATTCGCAAACAAATTTTGCATATTGCTTTCGTCATTCATTTTATACTCAGAATTCTTTATAAAATTAAATTCACTTCACTTGCATGTACAAAAAAATATACAAAATTAATACATATTATAATTATTTTGCAATACATATACAATATAATTTTTAATATATAATACTTTTATGTATCTATTATAATAATAAATATGATAAATAGAATCAATTTATACATAAGTAGATACAATGTGCTACACATCATTGATTATGATACGAGTCCCATCGTAACCTCGACCATAGGGAGTTTGTGCATTTGTGAAAACATCATAATTACCCTTTCTAAAAAAAAAATATATAATAATCATGATTTAAAGTTATCAGGAAATAATACAATTTAAGGAAAGAGAAAATATATAAATTTTCTTTTTTTTAAATGAAAATTTTACTAACACGTTGCTAGGTGTAGCGTATCCCATTGGAGCAAATATATTGTTACAATGCTTTCTGCATTTGCCTATAAAGGCGTTATTGTCTCTAATCGATTCCGCATAATACTCGATAGATCTTTTGTGGCTACAAATATCTATAATATACAATGATGAAATAAGCAAAACTATATTATGAATTATTGAACTTAAAAATTGATTAATCGAAAGTAACGAATCATTTAAAAACTAAAAAAAATTAAGAGCCATGTGTGTTGTACAAACCTATCAACAATAATATCAGATTAGTTGACATACAGCCTGGCTGCGGTCTGATACCATAATTAACATAAAAATCTACGTGGCCAATTTCTTTAGCGAGTCCCAAGATACCCATATCGGTGTGTATAACGTCTACGAATTTAGCATCAGAATTTCTCAAATGAGAATTGAGAATGTAGAATAAAGGACCAGCAGGATCTAAAGCTGTAAGAAGAAAAGAGTTCGTTTGCATTTATCGAAAACTGGTAAGGAAAAAAGACGAATAGAGAAGTAAAAGTTACGAATCATCGAATGTATTTCGAAAAATCGTTTAAAAAACAAAAAAGATTATTTTTCATTGATTAACTTCTTTGAAAAATGAATGATACCTGTTATCCTGGGAATTTTGAATTTCGTTTTACGACCAATTTTTGCTGCAAGCTGTGCACCTAATGAGTGTCCGATTATATGTATCTTTTCTGGATCCACACCTTTGTCTACTATGCTGTTCAAAGCATTGGCCACAAATTCACCAAGTACGTTGATTGCAATCGTAGAAATTAAATAAGCTTGATATGTAATATTCCGATAATCAAGTGCTAGGATATTATCCTGCGTATTATTTAAATATGCTGCAATAATTTGGAGAGGTCTATATTAGATAGAAATTTTCAAATAATGCATCGTATGTAATACAATTTTCACGTATGTATTACGTGAAAATTAACTGATAAATAATAAATAATTTTATTAAAAGGCTGTCACTGATATTGATTCTTTAATCAATTAATTCTAGAAATAAATGAATTATAATTATAATATATTTAATATTTAATGTTTAATACATCATTAATATATTTTGAAATTCTTCTAGTTAATATTTAATATTTAAAAATTTCTTGTCTGTTCCGATAAATAAATTTCAAGTTTCATTAGCGTTAAATAATTCGATAAAGTTTCAAGGAATTTGTACTTTTTTAAACGTTTTACACAGAAAACCGATAGAAAATTTTATTTTATTTTATTTTGATCTTGATAAATTTATCGTTAAATAAGAATTTGTATACAATAATGCATAATCTGTTATTGAAGATATTATTTAATATATTTTAAATTACTAATATATTTTACATCAAATAGCAAAATAGTAATTTAATCTTTTAATATTACAAAATAAAAAAAATGTTATTGATTTATAATATAGCTGCAAATCATGTAAGATAATTTTAAGACAAAGACTTATACAAATTATATAAACTTATTAATTAGCATTTTGTTTAATTTCTATTGCATGTATAAATAATGAGAAAAAGAAATATAAAAATATATAACTATAAAATTAAATTGATTTATATTTATAATAATTTACCATTCGTAATTAGTTTCACGTCATCACAATCAATGTCACACCAATAACCAGGTATATAAAACACTATACTATTATTCTTTTGTATGTAAAATAACAATTGATCAATATTTTTTAGATTTTTATCAATATAAAATCCATTCCTAAAAAAAGGAAACAATTACTTGATAAAATTTAGATATGCAAGTAAATTAAATTAGAATTAATTTTTTTTTTCATTCAATTCATTAATTTTATATTAATTAAATTAAATACCTGTTATATAAACGCAAGAAAACATTTTTAACTATATGTAAATTGTTAGTCGCTGCATCTATGAACAATTTCAAAATTAATTCATATTATAATTAACAATTTATTATACATATAAAACTAAAAAGGAATTTTTAAAAAATCAAAAATCGTGTTTACATATTTTTGATAAATAATTTTAAATAAAATGAAATAATTTTTAAACAAATAATGAATTTTGATTATTTTAAAAATATTTAAAATATTTTATTTGATAATAAAATTTTATACGTGTAAGGAATGTATTCTAAACTTGAAAAATTCAAATTTTTCTGAATTTCTCAGTTTCAAAAATTTTCCTATTATTTCCAATAATTATCGGATTTATTAATAACAATTATGCAATGATTTATTTATTAATTAATTTCCTTTAAGTTTTTAACTTTGTTTTTAAATATCTAAAAATAAAATCTATCAAAAACTTACCTGATAGAAAAATAAAGAATACTAGCAAAAAATAAATCTTGATCATGTTCATAGTTTAATTGCTCTACAAATAAAATCACTTTATTTAAGACAAATCAAAATTATTGCATTTTTTTAGCTCTATTTTTTTAACATGTCAAATAAGTATAGTATTTAAAAATACTATTAATAATACTATTAATATTATTATATATGAATTTTTTTCAAATAACTATTTACTTATATATCACATGATACAATATGACAATGGATGAGATTGACAAATCAGAATGATTTGAACTTTTGGAAATTGAAAAGAATGATTAAAATTATCGGTAATTCACAAAAATATGGACATAAAATTCTGAATTGTTATCAGAATAAAATGATATTAGAATGACATAGGAATATTTATAATTTTTTATATTTTACGAAGTAGAAAGTAAATTTTTATAATAAAATATAAATGTTATTAAATCTTAAGAATCTAAAAACAATCCTAAAAATACGTAAGAATGTTTACGTAAGGACTTTGAATGGATTGCATTACATAACTTAAGCTTTATTATAATTTTTTTAGTAAATGCATAAAATATTTTTAACATTTAAATTATTTTCGATGTAATACGCGGAGAATATGACGATACTCTTAGAAATTTAAATATAATGCCATGTCCAATGGAAATACTTTTATTAAATCGATATTATTAATATATTTCTTTTTAATCAATCATCTCATATTTACAACAATTGTACAATCATAAAATATTTTCAATTTTTAATAATTGTGATGATTATATTGAAATAAATTATAATATTATTATGATATATATTATATATTATTAAAATGATAATTATGATATCATTATATGTTATTAAAATGTATTTACCTTTAAAAGAAACTGCAAAATCGTTGTAAATACGATTAATTGTAACTTAATAAAACGAAACTCATTTCTATCTGGTTTGCAAATAATCACAAGTCAATTGTTGCATATAATCTTATATATCTTGTATATAATTCTTCTCTGAAGATAGAACGTGCAAGGATTCTCTCACAACTAAATTATTTGCAGATTTCTATGTATGATAATGATATCTTTATGATGAGGAAAAAACTGGTAAAAGAGAATTATAAAAAATAATGTATATAGTTTTACATATAAAAACTGAAATGCACGAAAAATAAAAGAAAAAGTGATCAAGATATATAAGATATATAAGATATATAAGTGATCAAGGTATAAAACAAAAGAGGAAATAGATATTTAAAAATATCAGATATAAAAATATATGATGATAAATTTTAAGATAAAAATTATTATTAGAATAGAGAGCAGAAATTTAACTAAAGAGTTGCGTTATACGATGTTTTTCAATTTTTTTCTAGCTGGAATTGGCACATTATGCATTATATGAAAGATTGGGGAAGAAATTTTGCACACATGACTTCATTCGTTACTTTATATTTATATAGAATTATTATTTACAGAAGAAAATTGATACACAACAACTTGATTGATAACAAATACTAAAACCTATAATATCATATATTTCATAATAAAACTTATTGTTAATCATTTAGATCTTAATATAAATATTTAAAGATGAAATAAAATTTTTGTCTGTGAAATAACAATAAATACAATCAATTTAAATACAGATAAATATCCTGTGTTCTATGAAATATTGAATATTCCTTTTAAGCCTCGGCCATATGGACTACGTTCATTTGTTAAGAGGTTATAGTTACCTCTCCTGAAAGTATAATAATGATTATCTAAATTTTCCTTTTCCTTTTCCATTTTCGCCCCCCTCCTTCCCCTCCTGCCCAAATTCAAAGAGAGGTATACGAAAAAAAAATTCTTATGTATAAAATCTTAAAGTACAGAAGAAACAGAATGAGTGGTTAAAAAAATTGTTGAAAATTAATGAAAATTATACTAACGCGTTGCTAGGTGTAGAATATCCCATTGGAATAAATGAAGTATCCTTACAATTTCTACACTTAGCGATGAAGGCATTATTGTTTTTAACTGATTCCGCATAATACTCGAAAGATCTACTGTGACTACAAAAATCTGTAACATATGAGGTGAAATAATCGAATTATATTACGAATCGTTGAACTGTTGAAATTAAAAATTGTTTATCAAAAAAATTCCAAATGACAAATCGAAATTCGAAAAAATAAAGAAATTAAAAACCATACATGCATCGTACAAACCTTCTACCGACAATAATGGGCCAATTATTTTACAACCTGGTTGCGGTCTATAACCATAATTAGGAAAGAAGTCTACATGTCCAACTTTTATAGCCAATCCATATAAACCCATATCAGTGTGTATAACATCCACAAATTTAGCATCGGAGGAAGTTATATGAGAATCGACAAAATAATATAAAGGACCAGCAGGATCTAAGGCTGTAAAAAAAAATTTAAACATCCTATTTAAACAATGTATTAATAAGATAATAATTGATAGGATAATAAATAAAAAGTTCTATTAAGTTCTAAAATTATTTTCTATCATGAGTATCAAATTTCAATTCAAAAAATGTTATTTTTTAATTCTTTAAAAGATTAATCGAATTAATAGAACTTTTTTCTCTGCATTTAATTATGTTATTTAAGAAAAAATATTCATAAATGACCTGTTATCCTTGGAATTTTGAAGTTCGTTTTACGACCTATTCTCGCTGCAAGTTGCGCACCTAATGAATGTCCAATTAAATGTATCTTTTCTGGGTTTATGCCATTATTCACTAAACTGTTCAGAGCATTGGCTATAAATGTGCTCAGTTGATTAATTGTTATCACGGAAATTAGATAAATTTGATTTGTAATTTCCCGATAATCGAGTGCTAAAATATTATCTTGCGTATTATATAAATATGCTGCAACGAATCAAAGAAAAATTGAGAATTAATTGTTTATCAAATAACAATTAAGAAAGACATAAAATCATCATTAAATGTAATATCATATTTTAATGAGAATAGTTTAATAAAAAAGAAAAAACATGATATTACGAAATATGTTGATATTAACGAATTTTCCACTTACCATTCGTTATCATTTTCACATTGTCAGAATCGATGTCATACGTATAACCAGTTAAATAGAATACTAAATTGTTATCCTTTTGTATGTAAGGTAATAATTCATTAGTATTCCTTATATTTTTATCAATATGAGAGCCATTTCTAAAAAAGATAATCACTTGATGAAATTTAAATATACATATAACTGTAAAATTTTTTTATTTCATTAATTTTAATTGTAATTACCTATTATATAAACGCAAAAAAACATTTTTAGTTAAATATAAATTGTCAGTCATATTCACAGCATCTGTGAACAAAATTAATTTTCAAAATTATTAACTGTGTATTACATTACAGTGGTAAAAAGGAAAACTAAAATAAAAAATTTTATATCTATATACTTTTGATAAATAAATTGAATGATTCTTAAATAAAAAATGAATTTCAATCATTTTATCAATAAAACTTTGTACATGTATGGAACATATTCTACAAATATTTCTAAATTTCACAGTTTCAAAACTTTTACTAATAATTATTTATTGATATAATAATTTATTCATTTTTTTTTATTATTTTCAAATATGAAGAAATAAAATCAAGCATTTACCTGCCGAAAAAAAAGTAAAAAATACTAGAAAAATACAGAAACAAACATTAATCATATTCAGACAGATGAATTAAATCTTGTGATCACTATAAATTATAAATTAATTTATTTAATTTATTAATTATTTAATAAATTTTTATAATTGAATTCACTTTTCTTCACTATTCTTTTATCTTTATTTTTTCTTTTCTATATTATTATATTTCAATGTGTGCTGTAAATATTTGAAAACAAAACAAAAAATTCTTAATTTACAATTCAGTATTTTTGAAGAATTGATTCCAAGATTTTTGATGAATAACATTGAATGTTATTTTATTTATCTATATGCATATTCGTATATGTGTTACACGCAATGTTTTTCTATATGAGATTACACTTTCAATCACTTTGATCACTAATTGTACAACAAGAATAATATTATTATAATTATATTCGCAAAATTATAAAAAATTTATTTTAAATTGTACACTTGAACGCAAATTTTTTAAATCAAAAATAAATGATTATTATTGCTATGAAAATGCTATTGTTTTATATTAATTTTATAAACACTTTAGCAACAATATTTTTATAAATTTTATATATTATACACGATACTTGATCTAATTATCACCAATATTTTTTACAGAATATTGTAGAAGATCGTGTGATGGATGAACAAATTACACTGACTTTTGTAAAAGTATCTTTTCGTAAAAGTATTATAGATCAACAAACGCAGACTTATATACACGAATGAATGTTTCATACTATGACTAAATCTAATCAAAACTGGAACTGAAAACGCTATACTAACGTCTAGTAAACTAAAAACTGGTTACGCTATACACTAACTTTAGTAAGTAAAATCTTTCACAGAATCCGCAAATTTACATTGTGATCTTGAATACCTTGAAATGTTCTGAAGGTCAGAACACATTCAAATATAACTTTTTAAATTAGATTGAAATTAATTCTAAAAAAAATTCTAATTCATTAATTCTAATGATGATATAAATGATAATATAATTGATAATAATAAACAATAATCTATAATCTATAATCTATTATACATAGTACAATAGTAACAATAGTAAATAAGTAAATAATAAATAAGTTAAATAATAAGTTAAATAATAAAATTGAATAATAAGTTAAATTTACTTTCGATAAATATCTATGCATTTAATTATAATTGATGTCTTTTTTTGTTCACCAATGGTTATTAAAGTTTATATTATACTTTTAAATATTTGTCCCATTGATATAAATAAAACTTATTCATTATTATTCATTAACTTATGCAAATTTTATTTAAAGTTTCATTATTTAAGTACTATTTCACACTTACATAATAAATTAAATTACATAATAGAATACACAATAAATTGATAGATATAAATGTAATAGAAATTAATATTATTATAATAATATTATTATATTAATATTATTATAATAATATTAATTATTATATTGTAATAATAGTAGTATCAATATAGTTATAATAATTTTAATTGCTTTTCGATTGTGACATTTTTAATTGCAATTCAATCAAGTGATAAGTGAATGAAAAAAATTTTTTCATTTTTATTATTCCATTTTTTTTAATCATTTGAATAATATTATTATTATTAAAGATACATTGAGAACATATCGCTATTATTTATATTCTTTTAATTACATTTTTAATTATATTCTTGTATTAGATTATATTAATTTTTCTTTTTCTTCACGCACTAACTTCATAATCAAAATTAAAAAACTACTATTTTGATCGAAAAATTATCAATCTTTGAATTGCAACTATAATTAACTGTAATGTAAAAAATTTACAGAGTTCATTTTAAAGCTTGAAGTTTCGAGCCTCCTACTAAATATGAATTTTCAAATTCAATTTTCTGAAAGTTTTTTTCTATATCATAAAAACATTAAGAAAGATTAAGATATTTTTTCAAAAATATTTTATACTTATGTGACACCAGTGAATAAAAAAAAATGTTATTAAAATATTTATTAATTATTATTTACATTTTTTGTTATAAAGATTAATGTCAATGTATGACATAGCATATATTATTTATGATATACTAATTTTTATTAAATTAAAGATGAATTATGCAACAAAAGAATTATTTCATACATTTCAAGAGAATATGAAAATAGAGATTTATAAAAAATAAATGCAAGCAAGAAAAACGTTTATTTCTTTTTCTTTCAACATAGCATTTATATACATACATTTATTGTGCAATTTGATATTAATTTTTTAACAATAATGTTATAATAAATATAATAGATATTATATCAATTTGCAACAGGAATAGGAATGATTTTCAATGGATCAAAAGTTGCTCCTGCTAAACCTCGGCCGAACGGACTCTCTGTATTCGTTAGAAGGTAATAGGTACCAGTCCTAAAAATATTAAAATGATTAAAAGAATAAGTTAGCTCGAGCAATAAAAAAAGAACTAATTTCAAGATATTTTTTTTCTTTTGTTATTCATTTTATTAAAGAAGAACTAAATTCTTTGTGTTTTAAAAATAAATTAAAAATTAATAAAAATTATACTAACGAATTGACAGATGTAGCATATCCCATTGGAATATATTCAACGCCGCCGCATTCATTTAATGAATAACACTTTGCAATGAAGGCAGTATGATTTCTAACCGATTCCGCATAGAACTCGAAAGATCTACTGTGACTACAAAGATCTGTAATATGTGAAAACAAAAAACAACGAGAAAGAAAATAACAAGAAAGAAAAAAGGTAAGTATAAGTTTTATTTTTCATTTAAAAAATTAAAAAAATCAAGACCCACAGATCTTGTACGAACCCATTTGCGATAATAATGGACCAATTAATGGACAATTGGGTTGAGGTCTATGACCATAATTGGGAAAGAAGTCCACATCACCAGTTTTCAATGCTAGGCCATAACCACCTATATCAGCGTGTATAATACCCACAAACCTAGCATCAGAAGATTTCAAATGAGAGTTGAGGAAATAAAACAAAGGACCGGCAGGATCTAAACCTGTAAAAAGAATTTTATTTATATTTAAATATTCGAAAAATATTTTGACTCAATAACAAAAAATTTAGAAGATTTAATTCGTTAAATTTTATATCACAATCAAAAAAATTGCTATATATTATTTATCGAATAAGGATCACTTTTTATTAAATTATTAAATATATAGCTTCTTCAAGAAAGTCGCTAGATAGTCACTAAACTTAATGATTAAAAATATAAATATTCATCATAAAGAATACCTGTTATTCTAGGTATTACAAAGTTCAGATTACGAGCAATTCTTGCTGCAAGTTGTGCACCCAATGAGTGTCCAATTATATGTATCATTTCGGAATTCACGCCACCATTTACCAATGTATTTAAAGCATCAGCAACAAGTTTGCCGAGATCGTTAATCGCATATACAGCAGTTAAATAATTCGCTCGTGTGATATTTCGATAATCAAGAGCTAGGATATTATGCTGCGTGTAGTTTAAATACACTGTAATTATTAAAAAATAACTGCATTAATTATTTTCAGATAACATATAATGCAATATATGATTTATAATACCATGATATATAATATAATAAGTAAAATTTCTTATTTAAATGATAAAAAATAGTTTTTATAAAACTTATTATATCGATTTGAATCAGTTTATTCTAAAAATAGATCTATTTTTTATTATCTTTTAAGTTAATTATTTAATAAATTTCTTATTTTTGTAACTAACAATTCTTAAACTTTTTGATTTTTGATTTTATTACAATTTTTGTGACAAAATTTATATTATTTAAAATCATCACATATAGGACAAATTAAATTGTTATTTTATTATATTCTTATTTAATTAAAAATTTAAAAAATTATTATTATTATTTTAAACCTAAAATTTATCTTTACATAATTTAAGGAAAGAAATTCATTGTACGAATGTATTAAAATAAAATGCTTTTCTTAACAAATCTAGATTATTTAGCTATTATATAAATGATGAGAATGACAAATATAAAGATAGAAAAATTTCTAAATTGTGAATCGAATTTTTATTAACTTACCACCTGTTATGAGTTTAACATTCTCAGAATCGATGTCATATGTGTAACCAGTGATATAAAGTACTAATAAACTATCATTCTTTTCTATATAAGGTAATAATACATTAGCGTTTTTAACATTTGTATCAATATAAGTACCATTTCTAAAAAATTATTTAATTGTGAATTTTAAACATATAAATAAATTAGATTGATATAAATTTCTTTTATTAAATTATTTTGCAGGTATACCTATTATATAAACGGAAAAAAGAAGAGTCAATCAAATTATAATCAGAAACAGCATCTGTGAACAAAGTTGGTATCAAAATTATTATTATTAACTTATTATATTTAGATTTATGTGCTTTGAAATTGTTAAAAAAAAAAAAGAAAAAGCTTAAAATAAAAAATCATATTTATATAATTCTAATAAATAAAATTATATACGTTAAAATAATTTTTTTAATTTAAATTAATATCCTCTACTTATTTCGCATGCACTTACATCATGTATGTGTGTATTTTTTTTTATTTTTTTCATTTTTAGAAAATTTCCCAAATGAATTTTGATTATTTTAAAAAATTTTGTATATACACATATGATAATAAAAAGCTTTAAATGACCATTATCAAAAAGTGAAACGCAAGTAAGATAGAGATACATTTTAAGAAAAAATGTTTTAAAAAATATTCTTTACGATAATATACAATGTAAACTATTAAAAAACAAGATTGAATCTAATTCTTCCTTATAATATCTTCTATAATTTCTTAAATATTACAAAAGATTACAAAAGACATAAAAATATTTTGAAAAGTGTTTCATTATAAATCATATATCTCTCAAAACAAAAGATAATTTCATTATTAATACCATCTGAATTAAATTTTTACAAATTTCTCTGTATACTTTCAAATTGCTAAATTTTTTTGTAAATATTAATCATGAATATAATAAAAAGTAATTAATAATAATATTGCAATGAAACTTATATTCGTTTGATATTTTATTTATTATATATATAATGTATAAAAAAAATCAGACTCACCTGTCAACAAAAAATTGAGAAATGCGACAAAAAAACAGAAACGATTCTTGATCATATCGAAAAATGAATCAAACTTTTCAATTACTTATACAATCTGTAAATTTTTTTTCTAAATTTTTATTATTTTTTTAATGATTTAAATATTCACCTTCTAATGATATTATTAATTTAAATACATATATTTAGATATAGATGATATTTAAAAATGAAATAAGTTTTACATAAAATTAAAATTACAATTCAATATTAAATATATTAATATTAATAATAATATATTAACAATTAATATATAATAATATATTATATTAATATAAATAATAAAAAAAATGTAAATATGATTGAAAACTTGAGATGTGTTTTATATGTTTTACTGATCTTTTTAAGACTAAAATGTTACATTTTTTAAACATTATTCTCATTTTATAGTCCAATTTTACCTGAAACAATTATTAAGTTTATCTTACTACAATATATTTAACAAAATATATCATATCATTGTTGTGTAATAGATGTGATAATAGATTAAGTTGATGTAGATAATAACAAGCAATTAAGTTTTTAACCAAATAATTTAAAAGTATACAGATAAATATTGACATATAAGAAAAAAACTTAATACTTAATATTTTTCAGTATTAAGAAATTTCGTTTTTAATAATAATATCATTTCTTTTTATTCTATTCTTCTAGCATCCTTTACACATCGCTAAAAATGTATGCAGTTAAAGGAATTTTCTATTGCTATTATTTATTACATTCTTATACGATTATGAATTAAGCATTTTTTTTCCATTTCATCATGTTATATTATTTTATTATCTTTTTATTTTTAATTACATTATATTATATTATATTATATTAATGCGATATGTACAGAACAATAATATATTTAAATCTTTTATTTTTTACAAATTAAGAATTAAATTTATTAAATTACAAATTTAATTATTTTATTATCAATCTATATTATTGTATCATTTATATTGTACTTTGCTTATAAAATAAATCTGCTTATAAATAAACATAAAATAAACCTTTGCGTTTATTTTAACTTGTAGAATCGATTTTTTAAAAAATATGATGAATATATTAATATTCTGTATTAATATCTAAATTCGAAGTAATTCTAAATATTTTAAATCCAACATTGTCTCTGAATTATTCTCTATTTTGTGATATGGTATAAAATATGAGAAACTTGAATTGATTATCTTTATTCTATTCACGAGGATATAATGTATTCATCGCTATAACTTTATTAAGATTTCAAATTTTAAAAAATCTTTGATACAATATTCTATGTAGATCTATGTATTCTATGTAAATTATAAAATAATTCGATTTTTCTTCACGGTGATTCTTATAAAATTTTAATTCTTAATTTTAGTGAATTCTTAATGAAATCTTAATGAAATTTTTTGATAAATTTTAGAAAGAATGAAGAAAAAATTTGAAGGAAATTTATACTATATTTATTTTTTCAATACAAACAATGAATTGATCACTTATTTTTTAAAAATAAATAAAATTTGATTATAATTAACCAAATATAACCAATTTATGCTCAGGTATAATTAGATGTGGATTAAATGTTGCTCCTGGTAAACCTCGGCCGAAAGGACTCTTTGCATTTGTTAGAAGATAATAATTACCAGTCCTAAAAGCATTAAAATGATCAAAAAAATTTTAATTCACGCAATAAAAAAGAAATTAATTTTAAGATATTTTTTCTTTTGTTATTCATTTTATTAAAGAAGAACTAAATTCTTTGTGTTTTAAAAATTAATTAAAAATCAATAAAAATTATACTAACGCATTACTAGGTGTAGCATATCCCATTGGAATATATTCAACGCCGCCGCATTCATTTAATGAATGACATTTTCCAATGAAGGCAGTATGATTTCTAACCGATTCCGCATAGAACTCGAAAGATCTACTGTGACTGCAAAGATCTATAACACGAAACATAAATGAAAAACGATGAAAAAGAAAAGAAGAAAGTAGAAAAAAAGAAAATTCTTGACATCTGATAATTTTCACTTTGCTTAATGTGACAATAGAATATTGTTTCTTACGCTATTTTAAAAATAAGTGGTAAAAAATATTTCAGATATAATCAGAATAATAATAAGAAAAAAAAGTTTTCATACATATTCATAATTAATTCAAAATATATATTAATAACCCTCATATAGAATATATATATATATAAAATAAATCACACGAAAGAAGATATATAAATATCATTGTATCAAAAAATTTCTCAAAAGAAAGTTACTTGTAACATAAAAATAAAAATTTTTAGAATCATTTTTTTTTTTTAAAAAGACCTCAAGATCATCGATATTTTCTTTAAAAAGCACTATACATATATATGTATATACGATTTTGAATTGATGCTAAATTTTCTCCATCAAAACTCCATCAAAAATTTTAATTTTAATTTTTTCACTTGGAATGTGCAAAAATTAATATCTAGAAATCATGTACGGACCTTCTTTTGACAGAAATGGAGCGATCGTCGCGCAACCAGCTTGTGGTCTATGGCCATAATTAGGGAAAAAATCCACATTACCAATTTTTATTGCCAAACCATAGATATCCATATCAACGTGTATAATATCTACGAACTTAGCATCGGAAGATGTCAAATGAGAATTGAGAAAATAAAACGCAGGACCAGCAGGATCTAAACCTATAAAAAATTTTATTAATAATAAAATTATTAAAAAATTTAATAAAATTTCGAAAAATATTTTAACTTAACAAAACTTAAAAGATTCAATTCGTTAAATTTTATATCATGATCAATATATATTGATCAAACTGTTAAAATATATTATTTGTCAAATAAAGATCACTTTTTATTAAATTATTAAATATAAAGCTTCTTCAAAAAAGTCACTAGATAGTCCCTAAACTTAATGGACATTAGAAATATAAAGATTCATTATAAAAAATACCTGTTATTCTAGGTATTACAAAGTTCACATTACGAGCAATTCTTGCTGCAAGTTGTGCACCTAATGAGTGTCCAATTATATGTATCTTTTCCGAATTCACACCACTATTTACAAATATATTTAAAGCATCAGCAACAAGTTTGCCAAGACCATTAATCGCATGTGCAGCAGTTAAATAATTCGCATGCGTGATATTCCGATAATCAAGAGCTAGGACATTATCCTCCGTGTAGTTTAAATACACTGTAATTATTCGAAAATAACTGATTAATTATTTTAATTAATTAATTATTTTAGATAACATACAATGCAATGTATGTTTTATGGTACCATGATATATTATGTGATAAGGAAAATTTTTTATTTAAATGATAAAAAATAGTTTTATAGAACTTATTATATCGATTTGAATCAGTTTATTCTAAAAATAGATCTATTTGTTATTATCTTTTAAGTTAATTGTTTAATAAATTTCTTAACAAATCTAAATTATTTAGCTATTATATAAATGATGAGAATGATAAATACAAAGATAGAAAAATTTCTAAATTATGAATGGAATTTTTATTAACTTACCACCCGTCATGAGTTTAACATCCTCAGAATCGATGTCATATGTATAACCAGTGATATAAAGTACTAAACTATTATCCTTTTCTAAGTAAGGTAGCAATACACTAGCGTTTTTAACATTTGCATCAACATAACTGCCATTTCTAAAAAATTATTTAATTGTGAATTTTAAACATGTAAATAAATTAGTATGATATAAATTTTTTTTATTAAATTATTTTGCATAACAGATATACCTATTATATAAACGGAAAAAAGAAGAGTTAATCAAATTGTAATCAGAAACAGCATCTGTGAACAAAATTATTATTGATATCAAAATTATTATTAACTTATTAGATTTATGTGCTTTGAAATTGTTAAAAAAATGGAAAAGCTTAAAATAAGAAATCATATTTATATAATTCTGATAAATAAAGTTATATACGTTAAAATAATTTTTTTAATTTAAATTAATCTTCACCTATTTACTTCGCATGCACTTACACATGCATGTGTATATTTTTTTTTATTTTTTTCATTTTTAGAAATAATAAAGATACATCACATGTGTGTAATTTATTGCAGAACATTTTCTAAAATGGATTTTGACTATTTTAAAAAATTTTGCATATACATATATGATAATAAAAAGCTTTAAATAACCATTATCAAAAAATACAAGTGAGATAGGGATACATTTTGAAAAAAAATGTTTTAAAAAATTTTTTACGGTAATATATAATGTAAACTATCAAAAAACAAAATTGAATCTAAATCTTTTTTCTAATTAAATAATTAATTAAATAATATCTTCTTAAATAATAATTTCTTAAATATTAAAAAAGACATAAAAATGTTTTGAAAGATGTTTCATTATAAATCATATATTTCTCAAAACAAAAGATAATTTCATTATTAATACCATCTGAATTAAATTTTTGCAAACTTCTTTTCTTTCTGTATTTTCGAGCTAAATTTTTTTGTAGTTATTAGAACGTAATAAAAAATAATTAATAATAATATTACAATGAAACTTATTTGCTCGGCACTTTATTTGTTATATATGCAATGTATGAAAAACTCACCTGTCAACAAAAAATTGAGAAATGCGACGAAAAGGCAGAAATGATTCTTGATCATATCGAAAAATGAATCAAACTTTTCAATTATCTATATAATTTGTAAATCCTTCCACTCATCTAAATCCTTACTCTTTTTTAATAATTTCAATAACCATTTTATAGTGATAATATTTCAAATATTTACATATTTAACAGGTGTTTATATTTAATAGATAACATTAAAATGAAATAATATTTACATAAATTAAAAATTACAATACAATGTTAATATTAAATATATTAATATTAATATATACATAAAAAAAATTATAAATGAACGATATTAAACATTTAATATGTGTTTTATACTTATCACATATTAATTCGTTTAAAATAAAAATGTTTTTATAGTTCAATTTTATCTAAGAATATTAAGTTTATTTTATTACAAATTTTTCCTATATTTAAAATAGTTAATTACATACAATTAAAATATTTAATTATATACAATTAAAATATTTAAAAACATAACAAACAAAATATATTATAGTTATATACTATGAGAATTGATTTCATATCAGATGAAATAATGATTTCAATTCCAATCAAGCAAAAAAATTAATTAGACAATTTAGAATTATAATAAATAATGTAATAAATAAATATTAAAATATATAAGAAAAAAAATTTAATATTTAATATTTTTAAAAATTTGATTTCATTAATAATATTATTTCTTTTTATTCCATTTTTTTTTTTTTAGGGTCCTTTCGCTAGTGTCGCATCGCTAAAAATTCATGCAATGAAGTGAATTTTCTATTTCTATTACTTATTACATTCTTGTACAATATTAACCATTCATTCTTTTTCCATTTCATCATATCATATTATCTTTATTATCTTTTCATTTTTAATTTGCATTATATTATATTAATGCGATATGTACAGAATGATAATATATTCAAGAGAATCTTTCATTTTTTACAAACGAAACCAAATACAAAAATGAGATTTATTTATTAAATACACACACAATTTAAATTTACAATTCAAATTTGAATTAGATAAAACGAGTTAGCAACAGAATATCTTGCTACTTTGTGCGAAAATGGAATAATTTTATTCTATCTTTTTTTTAAACTAATACAAACTTTAATTATTTTATTATTAATCGATATTATTATATCGTTTATATATTATATTAACGTTTTTGTTTATTTTGATTTGTAGAATCAATTTTTTAAAAAATTGCAATAAATAACACTCTATACTAATTGATTTCAAATTTGAAAGCATTTCAAATTCAATATTACTTCTGAATCATTCTCTATTTTATTGCATGGCATAAAATATGAGAAATTTCATTTAATAAAAATTGAAAATATATTTTTTTGTGGAAAAAAAAATTATCTTCAAACGATATTTTTATTCTATTCGCAGAGACATTTTAAATAACATAACATATTTTCATATTCATATTCATATTCATTTTCATATTCATTATTATAAGTTTGTTAAGATTTAACGAAATCGCTTTGATACAATATTTTACATATTTACAGATTCTATAAAATTATAAAAAAAAATTATATTTTTTTTTTTAATACATCATAGTAGTCATTTTAAAATTTTAATTGTTTAATCTTTGGAAACGAATAAAATTTTTTAGTAAATCTTATTACAAAGAAACAATAAGAAAGAATTAAAAACAATAAGAAAAGAAAAAAAATTATTCATATTTATTTATTTTTATATATTTTTTCAATAGAAATAAAATATTAATCATTTATTTTATATATTAAATATATGAAAAATTATATAATTCTTATATAATTTCTTATGCAATTTATTTTATATATCATTCACAATATCATTCTTATATAAATTACATTAAATGTAATTAATTTATAGTATAGGTGTAACTAATAATGGATTAAAAGTTGCTCCTGCCAATTCTCGGCCATAAGGACTCTTTGAGTTTGTTATGAGAAAATAGTTACCCGTTCTAGAAATGTTAAAGTAATCATTAAAATGAATGATAGATAAAAAATTGTTTATATAAGTAAAAAAAAAATAAAAACCAAAAAAGAAGAAGTTTAGACTTTTTTGTAGAAAAAAATTTTGTAGAAATGTCCTATTACTATTCTTTTTGCATTGAAAAAGAATTACGGAAATTCTTATGTAAAAATGATATAAATAATTTGAAACAATATACATTAAAAAATATCTAAAACTAAGAAAACTTATACTTACGCATTACTTGGTGTCGCATATCCCATTGGAATATATTTAGCTCCGTTGCATTTATTTAATGAATAACATTTTCCAATAAAAGCTCCATGGTTTCTAATCGATTCCGTGTAAAATTCGTAAGCTCTAGCGTGACTGCAAGAACTTGTAAGTTCTATAAATATAAAAATAATAAATGTTCTTTAGTGTATAAAATAAAACGAAAAGCAAGGAAAGAGGAAATATCATTGACTTTCCTTTGTTTTATCTATAATCTATAAATTATTACTTTACTTTAATCTATAAATTTAATCAAAACTAATCTTATGGAAAAGTTCGAATAATTTGTAAATATTATTATTAATATCATATCCTGCCGATATTTATTAGTATCGTTAGATGGTTAATCATGAATCATGATTAAATTTATAAAAAATGAAGAAACCGCTATGATCGATTGATTCAATACTTACTACTGCCACTAGATGGCTTTAAATGCCATTACGATTCTCGTTAATATTATTTATGAAATATTTACATATAATCATGAGATTCGATGAAATAGATAATAAGAATTAGTACCGACTGATACCGAATTAATTAATAGAGATTTAGTTTATAATGATGGATAATAATTAACAATGATCATATTCTTAAGCATGGTGTTATATAAAATGGTAATTATTATATAAGTGATTTTTTTTTTATTTTTAAGTTTTTTTTTTGTAAATCTTTTACTATTGGTAATATTAACATATTCGATTATTTAATCAAATTCGATTAAGAAAAGTTGGATAGAAAATACTTAAAACATTCAAAAATTTGGATATATTGATCATAGCACATAATATATTCGAATCAAATTGACGAATATCGGATTTGGATGAATTAACTTAAAAAAAAAAATAGTTTTCTTTATATTTTCCAATGTTTTTTAGTTTTTAGAATGGTTTTAAATTATAATTAGTACATTTAAATAAATTTATACCATAAATAATTTAAAGTAAAATGAAATTACGGCATAATAAAAATTCCATTAATTAAAATTGATTCGTTTCACTATGATTCTCCATATGTTTTATTTAAAAAATGATTTAAACAATGATATTCTATAATGAAAAATGAAATTTGCGATTTGGACGAATTTGCGGCAATAATGTTTTTTGTTTTAAAAAATTATCTTATATTTTATTATTAATAATAATTTCTAGAGGTATTTGATGATGATCGTCATATAAATCTATAATAATAATAAATCATAGACCATTTGTAATTTCATTGTATTATAAAACATTATCTTATTTAATTAATTTAATAATTTAATACATATTTATATTACATTCTGTAATTTGAAAATACAGATGAAAAAATAATGTTTAAAACATTTAAAAAAACAAATAATATATTTATATAAAAAATATTATAATAAAAACGTAATAAAATAAAGAAATATGAGTTTTATACTAACCTATTGAACAACCTGGTTGTGGTCTACGACCATAATTCGGAAAAAAATTGACAGTACCAATTCTTAAAGCCAATCCCGCGAAACCCATATCAGTATGAATAACATCTACGAAATCAGCATCGGAAATGCTCAAATGATTATTCAGAAGGTAGTAGAAAGGACCAGCAGGATCCAAACCTAAAAGAAACTTCGCTTGTTTATTTAAATATTGCGAATTATTACAAGCCATTAATTAAAAATAAATCTCAAAAGTTCACAAATCATCGAATATTTTATAGATTCCTTGTTCGCCAAGAAAAAAATTTTTTTTTTTCAAAAACTTTTTTAAAAAAAAACATTTTTGAACACATTGTAATTTTATTTTATTTTATTGTAATTCTGTAATATATAATTTATAATTTTAATTTAAAGTTATTTAAAACATACAAAGAAATGAAATATTTATAAATGATACCTGTTATTCTGCCAATTCTGAATTTCATTTGGCGTCCTATGCTACCCCCAAGCTCAGCTCCCAATGAGTGCCCAATTATATGTATCTTTTTTGGGTT